TACTGTATACTGTAAGTCGCCAACCGTTACCATTATTTTAGCACTGTACATCCTTCTTGTGTGCTGTTATTTGAGCATTATCTATCTATTTACGTTTTACCTATTGTAGCAAATATAACATCACAACCATAGCAATGGAAAGCTCTGTTGATCAAATTTCCTTTGACAAAAAAACTGTTGTATGCCCATATTTAGTCATGATGTGCCTATATATGGTCATGAATAGAATGTCATCATGACCATATTTAGGCATATCATACTTATTTGTCAAATGAAATTTGATAGTTTTTATAGGGCTTTAAAATGCTGTTTTAAAGCACATTCAATATTTTCAATTCTTTGTGTTTGTGTTGTACTATCGGACGTTGTTGCTGACAGTTAACTTTGCAAACCATTTTTGGATCTACTGCCTGCGTGCTTGAAGATGTCACTTTGTAACCTGAGCATGTGCAGTTCATTTGAGGTTGTTGATTTGTGTAGGCTAATAATTTTGAAACCATAATTGAATCACAACTGTCAAGTGTAATAATTTAGAGTAGTGGTATCAGAAACTCCTATCTCCTTACGAAAATACTTTCCATTGTCTTCCTACTTTAATTGGTTTATATTTAAGTACATCTACTTTGGCAACATTGTATATTATCTCAAATCCTTTCCATGGAAACAATCATAAACATTTTCGTTGTGTTTACAGATTAACGCCTTTACTGCTCTTTTTTTGACTCTATGTAATAATAGGAATACCTTTATTGGCTTATATATTTTTGTTCAGACTTAACAACTCAAGTGTCTCAGTTCAATTCTATCGTTACACACCTATCTAATAGTTTCTTAGAATAGTTAAACAGAATTTCCTGGTAGGTTTGAGTACGTTTAGAGAAGTATAATTCATGCAAGCTTATATCCAGTATTTTTATGTTTTGCAAATTCATTTCCTTTTGCTTCTGACCACAATGAAAACCATAATGTTGCTTTTTAAAAAAAAAATTTGTTTCCGGAAGTTCTGTTTGCACAAATTATATGTGACAAAGTGCCCATATATGGGCATCATGATGTTAAATTACGTCCAAGTATGGGCATATCACATTTATTTTGTCACATAAAAATAGATAGTTTTGACATTGTTTTATTTTACACATACAAGTATGAATTTAATTATGCTTTAATTGACTTAAAGTAGCATCTTACCTTTCATACAAATAATAATTAATATTTTAGTTTACTTTATTACACTTTATGTAAACATACAATTATCGATGTTGCTAGCTTCCACTCAAATACAGCATGTAGTAAATACATTTAGAGAATGCTTAAAATCTGTTGGCCTGTGGGCCTACAGCTGGTGGTTAGGGGAGGGCATAGCCAGACAAAGACCCCCCTATTCAGGAGAGCACCTGGCCAAGCTGGTAGTAGCCATTGTTAATAATAGTTATTTTCTGTCCTTTGAAGACTTTTGGTCCCTGGTTCAATTCTATAATGCTGTCCTTGTTTTTTTAGCTAGAGGGCTGAAATGCAAGTTTACAAATGCACGCACCGTCTTTCATGAAAGTCGTTCAAGCCACTGGTCCAGTGTGTACAAAATGGCTCATGTGCAAAGAGATACACACTTTGGAAATACTGGTGATATCTCCCAGTGTTCTGCACAATTCACCACCAGTAGCACCCCACTGGAAAAAGTAGTTTGACTTCTATAGGTTATCATGGTGTGTTTCATGTCAAAGAAATCCAATTATAAATTTTATTTTAACAATAGGGTTTAATGTACTTACTGTATATAAAAGAAATGCCAGGGTTTTTATTTATCAAATCATGTTATATAAATAGTGGGATGCTAATATAGCTAATTTTCTAAAATACAATCATTGACAATTTCTAACTTGTCCTTTATAAATTGTAATTTTCATAACGATGTTCTGCTCCAAATTGTCTATCTGTATTCTGATTTTATTAATTTCTTCATTTTTCTCTATCTTGTCGTTACATCTCATTACTTGATGTTTTAAATTCCCTACATGTACTGCTTATTGAAGCTGACAACTATTTTCTTTGTTCAGTTGATGGTACATTACGTTTAAAACACACCTATTGCTACTTTAGCCTCGTACTCCCATCCAATTTCCCATTATCCATAGCTTGGGATGCTTTAGCCTCGTACTCCCATCCAATTTCCCATTATCCATAGCTTGGGATGCTTTAGCCTCGTACTCCTATCCAATTTCCCATTATCCATAGCTTGGGATGCTGTTTAGTGCCATGTAAAAGCTTGGTCCTTCGGCTTTAATCTTCCATCAAAGACTGAATTGGAAAATCCAACCAGTATCCTGTTCCAGCCTCCACTAAAAAGGCATGTCCTGGCATACATGTTAGAAAATATATGATTCACTAGGTTTGTTTGTTTTACATTCTGTAGCTAGATACTTTCTGAATAATGTAATCACTTTTTTTTTTGCATATTTGTGTTAAAGTGTTAAGTTTTTTTGTGAAAATCTTGGGGAGTCAGTTGTGCAATTAGATTCAAGCATCTACCACTAAACTAAAGTCCACTACCTAACAAAGCTACTTTCTGTGATAATAGGTAGGTTTTTAGCAAGCTTACGAAACTGAAAAGGAATACAGTTTACAGTACGTCATTATTTTTTTAGTCAATCCATCCCATAATTGGCATACCTGCCAACATACATTTACCTATAAGACACAAATCAATTTTATTGGTTTACAGACTTTTTACCAAATTAACAGGTAAATTAACCACTTACTGTACCAGGAGAGCAATTGTAGGTCAAAAGGGAGTTGCTGCCTCAACCGGAGGTATTAACACTTTAGCTTGTCAATCCTAATGATGAAAAACATCAGAGGCGCTACACTACAGTACCATCAATTGCTGCAGCATAACATGGCCCTCCTAACATTTTTCCTGACAGTTAGCAATATCATATTGATATCATTCAACCCTGAAGTCATTAAACCAATGATGTGATTAGATGCCACAAACTGTCATCAGGTGTGTTATAACACATGTGTCAATCACTATGATTTATTGGTTCTTGACAAGAGCTATATTATTTTCACATCATCATCACTGTACAGGTTGGTTTCTGACATGCATACTTGACACTTGTCAACGAAAACATGAAGTACAGTTTAATTCAAATTCAATCGACTAATTAGCTTAGGATAAGAAAGTATAATACATACTCCAAGTATTGAAATACACGCCATCGTGTTGGGATTCAATATTTCGACATTAATTATGTCATCATCAGGGGATTCAATATTTCGACATTAATTATGTCATCAGAATCCTGATGATGACACAATTAATGTCAAAATATTGAATCCCAAGACGATGGCGTGCATTTCAATACTTGGAGTATGTACAGTATTATACTTTCTTATCTGAGATTCAGTGGACCTTTCGGTTTTTAACTTATGATACACCTTCACATTTGTTGGCCTATTTGTTATTAAAGTTTTAATGATATTTATATCATATTGTTGATAAACTTCTGAAAATTTGTAAAATATTGTGAAATGGTTTACAATGTAGGTCATTCCAGTATTATAATTTAAATGGATTATCTCTACAAAATACTAATATACTGTATGGCATATATACCATACTGACTTCCGGTATGGATATTCTAGTAAAAGTTCAAGCCTATTACATCATACCGGTAGACACAAACTTAAATGGCCTTCCTATTATATTATAGTGTTTTATTTCTTTACCACCTTTGAGGCTGGTAGGTTGTGGTTCATAATAGTCCCATAATATTCATCAGACATTAGCCACAGTAAACCATGACTTATATTATGATCACTTCCTTTATCAACTGTAACACCTTCTTTTATCTCATTTTAGCAGGGTGTAAAATCAAAATGCTACTGCCTATAGAATATTTTAGGCCTATAGCCATGGAGTTTTTAATACAGCCATGGTATAGCAAGATAAAATGGGATTGATAGCATTTGAAATTTAACAAAAGGCCTGTAGTCTGGCATATGATCATCACACATCTACTCAGATATATTTTTTACATATACTCTAAATAAGGATGTATAATACAGTATATGTCTTTCATCATTATACCAATGTGCTGTGTGGGAACTCATGATATTTACTTTCAACTGACCTAAAAGGAATGTCCATGGACTCGCAGAAATTATGATATAAATTGAAATACTGTACTCACTGTACTGTTTTAAATAAGGGAATTCAAGTGAGTTCTGTAACTAGGCCATACTTGCCTCTGGTGTTTTGACGAGGACCCTGTAAAAACATTGTGTTCAATTATGAGGTGTGACCCCGGGTGTGACAGTGAAGTTAAGGAGTTTATTAATCATCTCTGATCTAATCATAGTGTCCTAATATAATGTTTGCTTCAGACAGGTGAAAGTCAAAGGTTACAATTTTCAAATAGGTTGGGTTTTTTTTACAGTGCTTTGTATAGGTCATGTATTTTTATAGCCTATAAAATTATGTATTCAGCTTTTGCTTATTAAATTATGAGAATTCCCTCAGAAAGTTACTATAACATTGCATAAACACTGAAGAGTAAACATAATGCATTATTTTGGTGTTTGCAATTACAGTCCCCCACTTTATTATTATTTTATTATTATTATTATTATTATTATTATTATTATTATTATTATTATTATCATTATTTAACTGGTTTTTTTTTTTATACTGTAATTGAGTATTATCAATTTTATCATGATTTTTTAACGTTACAATATACAACATCAGTCAGTAAAACAGTTTCCAAAATCAATATACATTTTCTCTGCATTTTTTTAATAACAAATTGCACAGAAGCATGATTCATTGATATCATTAGAACTATCCGTTGACTTGTAAGCATATAAATGATTTATTGTACATCCATTACTTACACGCAGCTACATTTATTCCCTGTCAGATACCATTTTACAGAGCCGGCTCGAGTTACTGATATCTTTTTTATGTATTCATGAAATATTTATTTGTATCTTTGCAGAATACTTCTTGGTAGAGTATGGAAAACATAGTTAGATGTCAGTTGCAGCTTCAGACAGTAGCCTATTACACAGAAGTAATATTTACAGTACCTTCCCCCTTCCCGCAAAGCCTGAACACATGTTTGCCAGGTTTACAGATTCGGGCACTAAAAGGAAGACATCAGTAAGAATTTTGTTTTGAAGACTTAAGGAAGGAAATAAGTTTCAATGGATTTTCAAATTATGAGCGCTGATTCAGATATTGGAAAAGACAAACCGAAGTGATAAAAGAAGATCCATCGGAAATAGACAATTGACAGCTGGAAACTGTCCGAATTAAGAAATTTTAAGCATGAAGGAAAAATAGAGTTCAATGCACTGAGTTACTATGGCAATGTTTCAGTACATGGAGGGAAATTAAATGCATGTTTTATTACCTGTTTACAATTTGACTGTTTGATTTACAGCAGACGCACTGCTATGTTATTGTATACGTCAATGTTCTCTATGTTGTTTGAATATAACTTAATAATTACTTAAAGTAACTCATGTAACAGCGAAGAGAAGAAGTATACAATCTGAAAATATTAAAATGTAAGCATTTGTGGTAAAATTATCTTAATAGCACCTCGCATAGGTTGACGTCAGTGCAGTAAGTCGTTTTGAGCCCACGTAAATCATTTTTGATTAGAAACGAAATATCCAGAGCTTGATTGTCTCTAATTGGTTGCAATATGCATAACGACATTAATTTTCATCTATGTAAAATTAACACAACAAATATGTTGGCTTTGAAAGAATCACTTCTACATTCACCAACATATGTTCAAAGAATGATATGAAAAAAAAAATCTATTTTTATTAACTACGGTATTCGTGTGTCCTGTAATTCTTGGCATTAAAATCACTGACTAAATAAAACATAAAACAGGGTATGCTAAATTCTTTTGCACTCTACGGCCAGGCACAGGCTGCGTCGACCGTCAGCCATGCATGCTTTACAACACGACACTATCTGCTGATTGTTGTCTTCTTTTTCACTAACAATACATGAACCATTGAATATGTTTTGTATTTTATGCTTTTATGTGATTGTTGTTGAATAAAGACAGAATTGAATTGGCGGCAGTCAGAGCAGGTCGTCATGGAAAGTAATCTGCCTCCCATGCCTCGTAGCATTGCGATCTCTGTGGAAACACATCGTTGGCTGAAGCAGTGTGTGCCCAGGTCAAGAGTTATGGCACCAGCTACCCATTTTTTTATGAGAGCAAGACTTAATAAACTTCTGATTTTACATTGGTATCAATATTTCGAAAAAAGTACGATAATATTTAAAAATATATAATAATATGTAAGGCTATTAAATCATCATTTTTTTTTAATGTGATTGTATCCATCAAGTTTGAAACCAAAGATCATCGTTAGTATATCTAGCGATTGAAGGGCTATGATGACACTATTAGGTTGCACAGTGTATTATATTTCTTTAGATTTTCCAGGAAAATGTGGTTTCCATAAAATCGCTACAATTCCACTACAGCAGTTTCACTGCAATCGCTACATTGTGTAGCTAAATCTGAAGCAATTGGTAAGGCTCCCCGATGTACCCGACCATTCAGCATCGCCAAAATTTATGAAAAACATGCTTCAGGTAGCAATTTTATCTATAATTTTCATGCTTCCAGAAAGGTTTTACAGGAGAGTTTGGTTTCCATAAAATCGCTACAATTTGGCTACAGCAGTTTCACTGCCATCGATACATTGTGTGGCTGAGTCTGATGCAATCGATAATGCTCCTTGGTTTAACCGACCAATCAGTGTCGCCAAATTCATGAAAACCAGACTTCGTGTATCAATTTTTTCTTTAAATATCATGCTTCCAGAAAAAAAATAATATTAACTCCTGAACAGAAATGTTTAATTAAAGAAAATTAATTCAACAAATTTAAATTGTGTGTACAGTTCTGTACTAATATGTACTTTCCTGAATATACTTATTGTTCAAACAAATGTAGTTGTCTTAACTTAAATGCATTCTTCTGGAGATTTTAAAGCGTTAAATAACACCAGCAACTGTTACATCTTCTCATTAAAGTTACTTAGCATTCTAAGGTCAATATAATGTCCTCAAACTTAATATTTGTAATTCATCTCACCATTATCTTTACAGATGAAATTTCTAATGGTTATATCTTAAGCTTGTTTTCCATAAAATCTCTACATGCTATCACCGACAGCTGATGCTGATTGCTAGGTCGAATCGGGGAGGCTTCATAATTGCAGCGGGGGCTACTACGCTGTACAACGATTGCAACGAAAACACTGTAGCGTCAGTGTAGCGATTTTAAGGAAAGCAGACGTTTACTTTTGAAAATTTCATTTGACTGTGACATAATTGTATTAATGTATAATATTCTAATGTATGTTTCTACGGAATAGCGTTCATGCAAATGCGTTTAATAAGTCTACACTATCCTGTTAAAAAGTTAAATAATTCATTTAAACTGGTTTATATATTTTTTTTAACTGTTCTGAAAATTTGCATTTCAAATTAATTATTTGTTTATTAAAGACAAAATTTATACTGTTCATCTGATATCAATATTTAATCAACAACTAAAATATTCATGGTATAATTTATTGTGGTACAGTATGTTAATTCCAGTCCATTTTTTTCTGTTGCTCTGTTGTATTTCACTTAGGGTTTTTGTGTGTACTTATTGTCAAAATGCTTGTTTTTCACATCTTAATTTAGAATTTTATTTTTATTTTGAAAGAGAGTAAACAATGTTGAACACCATGCTTTAAAATTTATTTATTATGATGTGGAATACTATTGTTTGTATATTGTAATTATAAAAGAATATATGATGTATTTACTTAATTAAATACACTAACTGTAATTTCCATCTGAAACATTCATTGGAAATACTAAATTAAATTAAGAATAAAATAATTGTATGATGATATCAGGATATTAATAATACACTGGTTACATTCATATTTGAATATTTTAATATATTTGATAAAAAATAAATATTGTTTTTCCCTTAAAATTCAAATTATGGTAAACAATTTAACAGTATAAGACTATATTAGAAAGTTTATAATCCAAGTTAGAAAATAAAATTATGTTCATTCCAAAAATCTGAGTATAAATAAATAAGTATTAAGTTGAAGGTTAAGAAATTAAGAATTGAAAACCAAGATTAAGAATAACTGTCAATTTCTGTAGCAAATAACAAAGTTATAGTATAAGGCATGTAGAAAACTTAATCTGAAATTGTTTAAGAATACTTGACTGAATATATTAATGCCTCTGTACCGTTGATCTTGCAATGTCGACTTATTGTTTTAGATGATGCGTAGGGCACAAATTTCACTCTCCGCACGTATCCATTAGCTCTTGTATAACGACAAGTAGGGCATTGACGTCTGAGATTGGATGAAGCTGTGGATAATCTCACTGTATTTAAATCTTTTGCACCGCAGCTCATTATATCATTATTATTCGCAACATTTTCTATGATGTAGAATTGTAGATAGCTCGGACAGATTAGTAGAGTGCTGTGCCGTTAAACTGAACAGCGTTCCAGCTTCTTGCGTGGAACACTTTACTTAATTGGAACCAGGCTGGTTCATAAACCCTGTATGTTGCATAAATCAGACATTGTCACCACGCACGATCGAAAACACAGTATTAAAGATAGAAATACTGTGTCATATTAGGAATTATCTAATAACTCGGCGTATACAAGTAGGAGCAATTACAGTCAATGTGCAAGTTTAATTACCAATAATTTATCATTGCCAGAATTTGTGAATACAGTTTAAATTCTTTTATGAACTCAATCATCTAGATTTTTTTTTTATGATTAATAGTGTTTTTGCATTGATTACTTATTATCATAAATGATGTACTGTATTATAGTCACTTTTTTGTGCTTTTATAATTTTGGTTTGGAAAGACATCAACGTTTTGTAATGTTCCTGCATTTTTATTACATTTCTATGCTGCTTAGATACATATCAGTTGTGTTGGCTATAAAGAATTCTTTTTTATTTAATTGAATAATTTAAGATTTTGTATGCCATAATTATGAATTATTAATTTGTCAATGTTTGTATAGCCATGTTGCACCTTTCAATTTTTAGGTGTAACTCAGATTTTTGCAATCAACTTTATCAATCAATCAGTCTCTCATATAAGAATCAAAGATATATAATTCTGATGAAATTAATGTTAATAAAAGATCAGTCAAGATGAATTCACACTTGTTTTATATTTGTGATTTTCTTTTTTTTTGTGAATTAAAAGTGGCTTTGCCTTAAACTAACACATGTGTATTAAAAGTGGCATCCACTCTCATGTAATGTACATAAATTAAACATGTTTTATGTACTTTAAATTCACATGAGCTAAAGATGAAAAGAAAGGAAAATTAAGAGTTAAAATGAAATTGTAACACTGCGCATTAAGCACCCATATTTTGGCAGTTAAGACCAGGCTCTGGAGGAAAAATAACATTTGATATGTTGAACAACTGACTTTTTTTATAAGACACAAAAAGCATATTTGACGAAAAACTCAGAAACTGTTAATGAGATTCAGATTTTTGCATATTTAAATACTGGTGGGGTAGGGATGGCAAAGGGTGTTATATTTTCAGATCAGTTCAAAGCAATCCTGTATAGGATACTGTACACTAAATGGGACTTGAGACTGTGCAATTTAAAGTTGGCGACGAGAAGTTTGAATACAAGAGGAAGTGTCACAAAACTGGTTTACAGTAGAAGCGAATACAACAAGCTTTGTGTAATTGATAAGGATGCAAAAAAGAAATATACTAAACTATAAACAGGATATTGGCGCCGATTTTGTTTTAATCGTCTGACTTTGATCTGGCAGGTTATTATTTTTTTGTAGCGTTGATTTTTTTTCCCGAGTGACCTGGAAACTGTATCAGTGCTAAATAATAAAGCAGTACAGTGTATGCATGTATTCAATCGATACATGATGATCGTCACTTTTGATTTTTATGCTTAACCTGAAATAAATTGAAGGTGACTTGTATTATCAATACATCAAGGGTTGGCGTAGAGGGCGTTAAATGACTCTTCGACAGAGGCGAAGCACCAGGGGTGGCGCCAGTGGGGAGAGCTTCCCCTCCCTCTCCATTCGGGGAGAAAATCGTATACACTTTGTTAGGGAGAAGAATAAAAATTAATACATTTTTTACAATTAGTAGACACTAAAATTGTTTAAATAAGCCTATGAAACCCCTAAATTGTCATATTTTCCCGAGGATAGCCCCTGGATCACTTCCGAGAGATGAGCTCCACCCCTGCAAAAACATTTTATAACCCTAAGGTTACCGGTATTTAATATTATTTAGATTGTTATCACTGCATCCTCAAAAGCGAAGAAAGTAACGCTACCTACTGGAACTATAAATTATGGTTCTCGACTGACACTGCTCGCCCATGACAAAGGAAAACCTGCCTTGCTTTATACTGATACAGGGTCGTGAAGGCAGGATTGTCATTGGGGTTGGGGGTGTGCATAAATGGTCAAGTCAACTGGGGAAGAGGACCTAAGCAAACCCTTGACGGGGTTAAGAGAAATATACGGGGAATTATTGTACTTAAGTCATGCTTTTACTCAGCAATGTTTTATAAGGGTACCTGGGGTGCCCCATCCATTTTCCGCTTTCAAATACTGTACACTAAGCATTAATGACGCACGTGATAGGCATGGCAGGAAAATATAAGAAATAATAATTCCTATCCTATGTAAATTCGTAATTTACTCATTTCAAGACAGACACCACTTTCTTTCTGTTTTCGGTTTCTAATCAAAATGTTCACGCAATTTCCCAAAGTACGAAGACGTGTGCATGCACTCTCATTTTGTGTTTCTATGAACAATGCATTTTTATTACCTTCTTCCCTGACGATAAGCACTGGAATAAACATGAATTATAAACATCAAAGAACAGCTGCGCGTGCCTGCGATAAATCGGAAATATGGATTCCCCGCCCTTACCGGAATATATTACAATTCACCTTGATGAGGACAGGTTATTTTATTGATAGTGAAACAAATTATTGTTACTGACGTCGAAATACAAAGATGTAGCTATATCTATTATGCTTCGTTAAGCTAGCAAAACTAATTACAGTACTCCACCCAAAATCAGTGCATTATTCATAAGTTCAGGCATAGTACATGCATGAATATTGTCGTGTATTACAGGAATAATGAGTACATCATAATTAGAATGAATTATTTCACCGGACAGGTAGAAAAAATGCAATAAATGAAATAATAAAAGACAGGAGGAGAGCATCGCCTTCGCATATCATAATAACACGAATAAGATGAACATTTGATCATAGAATATTGTTGTTTGGGATGAAGTCCCGAGTTGAAGTCGGATGGGATCCAGTACTCGGAGGCAGAATCAAGGACGGAAACAGCTAGACGGCCTGGGCCTGATTAAATTTTTGAACATTATTAAATGGAGACAGATATTATAGGCTATTTCAGGCCATCAAGAAGTGCCCTATACAAAATGTCGTACATCGCATTCTGGACCCGATCCGACTGTTTGAATTCCCCCAGAAAGAAATTTTTTTTACCAGTGCAGTGGCGTAAGCCTATGACTTAACACTGGGCAAAGCCAAGGTGTCGGATATTGGCCCCGATGTGTAAAATAATAACTTGAAGAATTTTTTGCCAGGACCTTGCACCGGACTCGGCCGATTGGGCCCCTTAATGATTGGGCCACTTCAAAAACACCCGCAAACTCACTTCCCATCCCACCCCAATCCCCATTGTAGTAGGACCCGACGAAGCCTTAGACAGGGGGCTCATCATCTCTTTGTTGCGACTGTGTAACTGTTGTATTTGAAACTAAGGGAACACGATGCCCTTTGACAGAAAATATAAATCAGAGATGTGAATATTTATTGCAAACCATCAAGGTGGCGCACTTTCTATAATATCACCGATATCAATATCGACAATATATCAATAACTATCAATATTATCATACCGATATCAAAGACCAAATGGAAATGTGCCATTATCAACAATATAAATAATAATGATAATAATACTTATTATTATTTCTGTTATTATTTTCATCATCAATATTATTACACTTTTTTTTTTATATAAGAACCAGTAAAATTTTGCCCAGGCTCAGTGTTCTTATTTTTTCTCCGATTTCAGGCTCAAAATGTTCTTATTTTGTTCTTATTTTACACAATTTTCAAACATAGAAAATTATTATTGTACAGCAGTATCACTGTACTGGGAGGTGAAAGCGGCCCTGCAAAAAATGACCCCTCAATGAAAGGCCCAGTAAAAAATGGCCCCACAAAAATGGCCCCAGTTAAAAAATGGCCCCAAATGGGAGGTAGGTACAGTACACCTACTGTACTGTATTATAGAGGGTATTGCATAGTCACACCTACTGCACATAAGGTACCGTAGGCCTACAGATATATTTTTTTGTTTTTCTAGTTTGACATTCTACCTCAGCCTCAATTTGTTCTTATTTTGTTCTTAATTTTTTTTTTTTGCAATTTCAGCCTCAGTGTTCTTATAAAATGTGTTCTTATAAAAAAAAAGTTTAATATCATTATAATATTGTCATTATCATTATTAATAATATTATTAATGTAGGGCCTATACCTTTTTTCGGTAGTTCATTCAGCAGGGGCGGATCCAGAATTCCTCAATCGGGCACAACAGTTTCAAATATATGAGTGAGTAGCAAATAACATAGATATGCATTGAAATTTAAAAAAAAAAATTAGTGGCTAAACGGGAAGTGGGTGGGGGGTGGGGGCGGGAACACGTGTTCCCGTGACACAACGCACCCCGCGCATAAAAGCCATAGAGTTTTCAATTGTGTTGTTTATTGTGTATCTGTGATTTATGAGAAGCATGTTTTCCTTAATAAGGAAATGAATGGCCCAACACGTCCCATCCATGATCATTACTTTATGATACATCCGGAATAATTTCGTCTTCCATCCACAATCATCGCGCTGTCCTTGTTTTTTTTAGCAATGCAGCTATAGAAATTGCTTTTTGTCCAACTCAATCCACAGCAAGGCTAATTCAAATGCAATGAGATAGGGAAGAACAAGAATATTTTCACTTTTTTTATATATATATAATTTTAATATAATAATAACACTGCAAAACAATATAGAGCGCATTATATATAAGCCTTGTGTTTCGTATAATATTTCAATGTGGTATATGTAACAATTATTAATAAAGTCATGCTTAGTTCCTCCGAGTGCAGACTAATCCATAAGTTTGTTTAAATGATACTTAACTTTTCCACCTCCATGAAGGACGTTATGTATCTTCACCGCTGTCTGTCTGTTAGCAAGATTACGAAAAACAAAAACAAATAAGGAATGATCATCATAAAATTTAGTGGAATGGTTCATAATAATCTAAGAACGAGATGGTTGACTTTCGAGAAGAAAGGTCAAAGTACAAGTCCAAGGTCACCGAAATTCGATTTGTTTTTCCCTTTAACTTACCCTCGAGCATAAAAGAAAATAATGGAATCGCCCATAATAGCTGCGTATTGTTCGGTATCCAGGCACAGGGAGGTGGCTGCTCTAGTTTATAACTGTTAGTGAAAAACTAATTATTTATTATTTGTCATCTTGAATGCATTTTTTTAAACACTTTTTTGAAATCTTCTTGGTATGTCACTTTGTCTTCAATCATTATTAGTGCAATCCAAACTGTAGGCCTATTTAAATAGATACATTAAATCCATGATTTAAAATTATTAAATAAGGTAACAACTGTCAAAAGGTTATAGAATGTGCTCGTAAGCAATTGATCGTTCAGTTGTTTGGTTCACTACGTATTTAATGGCCTAACAATGCCAAAGTACTATTTTTGAAAAATAAGAACCAGTCATTTTTTTTCCAGACTTAGTGTTCTTTTTCTTTTTCTTTTTTTTTTCTTTTTTTTTTGGCTAATTTCAGGCTCAAAACGTTCTTATTTTGTTCATATTTTACACACTTTTCAAAGATAGAAACATTTGTACAGAGCAGTATGTTACCACACTGTATAGTCACACCTACTGCACATGGTATATATAATACCAAAATAATTACGTAGGCCTATTAACTTTTTAAACGTTATTACTTTACTGTGTGTGACCATAGAGAATAGCTTTTTTTTTCATTTTTTTTTGTCTAGTTTTAAATAAAAACTCATTTGACAT